CGGGCCGGGGGGAGGAGAAGCTGCCATTAGTCGCCGCCATTTTGTCCTCCTGCTGCCGGCCTGCTCGCCCCTCCCCCTCCGATACCTCTCCTCAGATACCTGCGCCTCCAGCCCCTCGCTCGGGGCCCGCAGCCTGTCGGTGCCCCCCGCCGTTCTGGGCTCAGGGAGCGACCCCTGCTCCTCGGCCCGTAGCGCCCCACCCTCTGCGGCGCTCCAGGCCCCGGTCCCATCTGCCTGCCCCCTCCCTGGCGCCCTGGGGTGCGCCGCGCCCGCCGGACCCCCTCTGGGCGGGTTTCTCTTCCCCACGGTGGGGCCCGCGCTGCGCCAGGTCACCTCCCCGCCGGCGCCTTGCTGTGTCCCGCATCTTTTCAGCACCTTCTCTGCCCGTTCATTCTCTGTCCGCCGTGTCCCTTTCTCTGCCGACCCCCTTTCTCTCTCTCTTTTTCCCCCTCTCTTCTGTGGTACTGGGGCTGGGCTGAGGGCCCTGTGCGTGCCAGGCAAGCGCTCTACCACCGAGCTGCCTCCCCAGCCCCTTCCTGGCTTTTGACGTTGCCTCCTTCCTCCTGCCCCGCATCCTTTCACAGCCATTCCTGCTGTCGCGTATTGTTTCCCACCGGCTTTCGTGTTCTCGCTTTCGTCGGTGCCTTCCGCGATTCTTCTGTCTCCCTTCGCATATTTATTTTCATAGATTGGCTTCCTGACATACCTGCAGGGCAGTCCTCATCCTCTCATCCCCAGTGTGTCATAAAGTTCTGTCTCCCCAGTTTTGGCTTTCATCCGGGACTTGTCTGCGCCTCTCCCCGTCTCCCATCCCTTTCTTTTTACACTGTTTCCACCCACAAATGAATGCCCGGTCATTGTAGAATGGACCGAGGATGGAGTTCGGCCTGCGTGGAGAGCAGGGCCCATTAGGGAAAGAAATGACTGCTGATGGACGTTTTTAATGATAGGAAATTGAAAGTTGGTAGCTGGCCCATGGTTACAGGATGTTCTCCAGGTAGCTCCATAATGCTTTATTTTTCTTAGTTCTTTGTAGGTTAAGCCAGAGCCCGCTGTTATTTCTTCTGGAAACAGAATTATTCCTAGGAGCCAAGATGGAGGCAAATTTAGGAAAAGATGGAGTATTCAAAATGCTTGGAGTTTTGTGGGCTGGGAGTATGTACAGCCCTTGTTGTTCCTTAAGGATTTCTCTGACACCAGCTCCCAGTGTGGCAGAGAAAGCTCATAAAATCCTTAAACTCCCAGCATACCCTCCTGCAGAACTCCCCAGATGGGACTTAAGGCTGATGGGAAGGGAACCTGGGCCCAGGGCCCAGGGGCATGATTAAGGAGCTGGTGTAATAAGTTAGTCTTGTGTGATGGAGTTGCGTGCTTCTCTCTGGTTTTCTCTAGGGCTTGGACTTGCTTGTCCTGTTTTATTGTAGGCCTCTAAAATTATTTTGGTAGAAGGAAAATTACTACTTTTGCAAATAATGAAGAGGCTGTTACGCTTTCTGTACTGGCACAAACACCAGAGCATTTACACTGGGAGGATATTAGATTTTTATTTGGTTTTTCTTGGTGAGAGGTGTCCAAGAGAAAGAGGGAACATGGCATTTGGGTGCTGAGTGGATTGTAGTTGCATAAAGAGGCCAGGGAATTTATATAGGTTTGGGGGAAGGACATGGAAGGGCCACATGTCTGGCCCCTAATGAGATGAAAGGAAGCTTGTTTGTAGGCTCCTGTTGGAGCAGAGACTGAGATGCTTGCTGTCTGGCCCACAGGCTCCGGCACGTTTCGGGGGAGGTGCCTGCAGGACCCAACGTACTCAATGAGCTTCCAGCGCAATGTCCGATCGCTCGGGGCCGACTGCCAAGGGGAAGGATGGAAAGAAGTATTCCTCGCTCAACCTGTTTGATACGTATAAGGGCAAGTCCTTAGAGATCCAGAAACCCACTGGTGAGGGCCCTGCAAAGGTGCTTCTAGTCGTTGGGAGCAGACATAACTGGGGTGTACACTTCAGAGTTTCTTTGAAGGGGAACAGCTATAGTAGAGGTAGCAGAAGACCAGAGGGGTGCTGGAGACTTCCCACTTTTACCTGTAGGGTCCCCAGCAGCTGTTGGGCTCTGGGGCAGCACCATTTATCCTCCAACAAAGGCGTGTCTTTGGTTCCTTGTCTTTGGACACGTAAGAATTGGAGGCAAAAAAATTGCGGATTTGGAGACATCTGGGGCCAGCTTGCTCCCCGCAGGCTCAAGATTAACCATCTCACATAAAAGCAATGAATATAATATATATATATGTATACACATACACATATATATGTATTTCAGCCATTGCATTAGGGATTTCAAGGATTGTTACGGAAGGAAAGGGTGGCTTCTAAAAAACCTGGAGTAAGTGGGTAATAGGACATCAAGGATGTCTAAATGGTGCATGGGGTGGGAGGCTGTTAGATCTGTGTGAGGCAACTTTTGACCCTTTCTCCACCTTTCTTCAGTTGCCCCTCGCCATGGCCTACAGAGTCTCGGGAAAGTTGCCATTGCCCGGCGTATGCCACCCCCAGCCAACCTTCCAAGCCTGAAAGCCGAGAACAAAGGCAATGACCCCAATGTCTCACTAGTCCCGAAAGACGGAACAGGATGGGCAAGCAAGCAGGAGCAGTCCGACCCCAAGAGGTAGACAGAGCTTGGGAAACCCAGAGCAACCAGAGCTTTTACTTGGCACCTCAGGGTGAATTGGGGCTTGATCTGGCCCAGTCTCAGAGCCTCTGTATCAAGGTAGAGAAAAGAGGGAGGCACCTTTTGTTTCAGGCTTCCTGTTAGGTGACTAAGAAACGGTACCTTTAGCTTTCTCTGAAATGGAGGGAGAACCTGAAGAAACACAAAGTTTTGTTTTTTATTGGTAGGTGTAGTGGTGGACCTAGGGTCAGCCCCTGCTTTCTGTCAGAGAACTAGGGTGGCGTCTCATGCTGTAGGTATAACGTTCCCGTTCTACTGCTTCCTCAGTTCCGATGCCTCAACTGCTCAGCCGCCGGAATCGCAGCCACTGCCGGCTTCACAGACGCCTGCCTCCAACCAACCGAAACGACCGCCGACAGCCCCCGAGGTACTTGGAAAGCAGGAGGGGCTCAGGGAGAAGGACTTGCGGTGCCCCTACTCATGTCACCATGTATTCTGTCTCTGCTTCCCCAGAACACTCCTTCGGTTCCAAGCGGGGTAAAGTCCTGGGCACAGGCCAGCGTCACGCATGGAGCACACGGAGATGGTGAGCACGGGACTGTTCGGGGAGCTGTGTCTGGGTGCATGTGAGGCTGGAGCCCTGCGCTGTACCTCACTGGAGGGTCCTTGGTCCACTTTGGCTGAACCTTGGCCCGCATATTCAGTTTCAACCTTGGGCGGGAGGTCCCCAGAATTATCCCTTTCTTTTGGGGACTGAACACTTACACTCATCACTGGGGTGAGTTTCAGAAGGGCAGGAACCTGACAGTGGCACTATCAGCCTGCATGTGTAATGGGGCACCCTCAGTACATACGGCTGTCTTGCATTGTCTCGACAGGTGGAAGGGCATCAAGCCTACTGTCGCGATTCTCTCGAGAGGAATTTCCGACCCTGCAGGCGGCTGGCGACCAGGACAAGGCTGCCAAGGAAAGGGAGTCTGCCGAACAGTCGTCTGGGCCCGGACCAAGCCTCCGCCCCCAGAGTGAGTGGCTGCCTTGGACATCGCTTGTTTCGTCTCACTCCCTCACCATCATTTTCTCTTGTACCTGAATCAGTAATCTCTCCCTCCTCCTCCTCCTCTCTCCCTTTTGCAAAATACAGATTCTACAACTTGGAGGGACGGAGGTGGGCGTGGCCCTGATGAGCTGGAGGGCCCTGACTCCAAACTTCATCATGGTCATGATCCCCGAGGGCCACTGCAGCCTTCGGGCCCACCCCAGTTCCCTCCCTACCGCGGAATGATGCCGCCTTTCGTGAGTTTGGATAGTCTATCTTAAGAGTGGTTGCGCCAGAAGCTAGTGTAGGTGGAAAGCTTTAGTGTTCGGAGGGCACGATTAGGAAGCAGGCACCTGGGAGACAGGCTTAGGGTGAGAGGGTGGTAGCAAGGTTAAAGGCTAGCGGACTGTTTGACTGTCCCTCTGAAAAGCTACTGTTGGGCCCTTTTGCAGATGTATCCCCCATACCTCCCGTTCCCTCCGCCCTATGGACCCCAGGGGCCTTACAGATACCCCACTCCTGATGGGCCGAGGTAAGCAATCCAGATCTGGGTTTGTGCTTGGAAGCAGGAGAAGCCTGTTGGGGGAGGACATGGTCTTCTAGCCAGGAGGCTGAGTTTGTATGCGGTTGTACAACGTGCCATCTTTTTTCTTCTTGTCCCCTCTCCACATATAGCCGTTTCCCCCGTGTGGCAGGTCCTCGAGGCTCAGGGCCACCAATGCGCCTTGTAGAGCCTGTGGGTCGGCCATCTATTCTCAAGGAGGATAATCTCAAAGAGTTCGACCAGTTGGACCAGGAGAATGATGACGGCTGGGCAGGTGAGTGGATGCTAGGGATCAGACAGTTGAATCTTGAAAGGCAAAATCTGAAGAAATAGAAATTGCCTGTGGGAAAGGCAGCTGTCTAAAGGCAGGGTAGGCATATGGAAGAAAACAAAGTCCTAACAGGACAGAGGAGCAAGGATGACAAGCAGAGCAGACCTGGACTTGTACGGGAGGGATGGCATGCACAGCACATCCCATTGTGTGGTGACCGACCACTGTGTCCCCTCACCGGACACATCGGAGACTGGGGAGCCGGAAGTGTGGGTTACAGCTCCTTGTTTTTCCCTCAGGGGCCCATGAGGAGGTCGACTACTCTGAAAAGCTCAAGTTCAGCGATGAGGAAGACGGGCGAGATTCCGATGAGGAGGGAGCTGAGGGCCGGTGCGTTGGGGCTGGGCAGAGGGGACTGGTCTTCTCATGGTAAGGTGCTCGGAGCAGGAGCGGGCTGTGGCTGAATTTAATCTTACTGTTGATCTCACAGCAAGGACTCCCAACCAGCTGCTGGTGAGGAACGGCCCCCTGAAGCAGATGGCAAAAAGGGCACCTCTCCTGGCAGCGAAATGCCCCCTCCCAAGACGGCCTGGGCAGAGACCTCTCGGCCTCCAGACACAGAGTCGGGGCCTCCTGCCCCAAAGCCTCCCCCACCCCCACCTCACCGGGGCCCCGCCGGGAACTGGGGCCCGCCTGGGGACTACCCAGTGAGTGTCTGCATGAAGGGAGACAGGGTCACACATGGGAAGGGTCAGCTGAGTAGCAGAGGAAGCCGAAGGGAGGGCTAAAGGTCCACATAAACCCAGGGAGGGTTGTGGCGCATGTCTGGAAAGCTTGGGAATGACTTTGGTATCTGGGGAGTCTGGGAGGGAAAATTGGGGTGCTGGTGAGGAAGAATAAGACCTGAGATCTCGAGAGAACAGAGAAATAAGCGATGCGGATGGTGACTCTCCCCTGAGAGAGACCATCAACCCCCAGTCCTGGTCCGTGCATCCTGTAGCTAGAGAAAGTTGGCTGATGTGTGGAGGGGATGGTAGAAAGCATAGTGACTAACACACTTGGCCTGTTGGGGCTGCCTCCGACAGGATCGCGGGGGTCCACCCTGCAAGCCCCCTGCACCAGAGGACGAGGATGAGGCCTGGCGCCAGCGGCGAAAGCAGTCTTCATCTGAGATCTCCCTAGCCGTGGAGCGGGCCCGGAGACGGCGCGAGGAGGAGGAGCGGCGCATGCAGGAGGAGCGCCGGGCCGCCTGTGCCGAGAAACTCAAGCGTCTGGATGAAAAGTTTGGGGCCCCTGACAAGCGGCTCAAAGCAGAGCCTGCTGCCCCACCTGCTGCTGCCCCTCCTACACCGCCTGCAGTCCCCAAGGAGCTCCCAGCACCGCAGGCACCAGTCCCTGTACCAGCCCCGACGCCAGAGAAAGAACCTGAGGAGCCAGCGCAGGGCCCTCCTCCTGCCCAGCCCACTCCCAGCCCAGGTGTGGCTCCCGCTCCCGCTCCGGCGAGCGGTGGTAGCACTACCAGTAGCACCAGCAGTGGCAGCTGCGAAGCCAGCCCAGGTAGGGAGAAGGATGGGCACTGCAAGGTGCCAGAGAACGCTGCTTGGTGTGTGGGTATATAGGGTGGTAAGGATGGGAGTAAATGAAGTAGAAGGCATTTACTTTGTTTTTTGTTCTTTTTGAGACAGGGTCTCGCTATGTAGTTCAGGCTGGCCTGGACTCCCTATGTAGCCCAGGCTGGTCTCAAACTCATGATGAGCCTCCTGCCTCAGCCTCCCGAGTGCTGGGACTACAGGCGTGCGCCACCACGCCTGGCTGAAGGCACTTACTTTGGTTCGTTGGACTCTTGGTGGTAGGGAAAAGGGTCTCATTTATTACATGGTTTCTGAGAGGAGGGAACGTTCTAAAACCACTTCTAAGCTGTCTGTGGTGGCGCATACCTGCAGTCCCAGCATTCTGGGAGGCTGAGGTGGGAGGATCACTAGTTCAAGCCCAGCCTGGGCAATTTAGCAAGACCCTGTCTGAAAAATAAAAGGAGGTCATAGCTCAGTGTGAAGGTGCAGGGTTCCGTCCCTAGTGCCAGAGGGGCTTGGGTGGGGGAGACACTTCTGTAGGCCTAGGGTGGAACGAGACGGAGAAGATGCTCTGGGACTTTTCCTAGTAACTTGGCATTGACGCCATTAATTGGCTCTTGAGGTTGTGGAGTGTGATCTCAGACACAGCAGGCTCCAGTGCAGCAGGGTCGTCCAGACACCTGAGTCTCTAGGAAACAGCTTCGGGAGAGGGCTGCGGTTCCTGGGGTGCCTTGACGGACTAGGTTACTGTTTCTCGATGCAGTGCAACCCCAGCTGCCGTCAAAAGAAGGACCTGAACTGCCAGAAGAGGTTCCTCCACCTTCTACACCTCCAACCCCAAAAGTGGAACCTAAGAGTGATGGGGTTGGCCCTCCCCGGCAGCCCCCAAGCCAGGGGCTAGGCTACCCCAAATATCAGAAGTCGTTGCCGCCTCGTTTCCAGCGACAGCAGCAGGTGAGATGGAGTGACTTCCTTGGGTGGCTTCCTCTCTCCACTGCTTGGTCCTGTCCCTAAGAATGGGCCCATGTGCTTATGGCTGGTGCTTTGCTGTGTGGTTTGTCTAGTTCAGGCTGGGTCACCTGCATGCAGTCAGTCTGGGCTTTGGGAGCTGCTCACCTGTCTCGGTCCTTCCTCAGGAGCAGCTCCTGAAGCAGCAGCAGCAGCAGCAGTGGCAACAGCATCAACAGGGCTCTGCTCCTCCTGCCCCAGTGCCCCCGTCGCCACCACAGCCGGTGACCCTGGGGGCTGTGCCAGCCCCACAGGCTGCGCCACCTCCGCCCAAGGCCCTGTACCCTGGTGCTCTGGGCCGGCCCCCACCCATGACTCCGATGAACTTTGATCCCCGTTGGATGATGATTCCGCCTTACGTGGACCCCCGGCTGCTCCAGGGCCGGCCTCCTCTGGACTTCTACCCTCCTGGTGTGCACCCCTCTGGTGAGAGGCCATGAGGCCGGGCGGCAGGGAGCTCCTCGGCCAGTGGAGGTAGCTGGTAGGGTCTCCCGCACAACTCTGGAGTGCTGCATTACTGTTTGGGTGGGGGGTGTGCTTAGCACGCTCACCGCTGCTTGCGTGTGAGCATGGGCTTGGGGAAGACATCGGCAGTGCTCCTCTGTTGGTCAGGGCTCGGTTCTTCATCTGAGGAGAGCCAAGGAGGCAACCCTGTTTCATAAAAGCAGGCGGAGTCGAGGTTTGCCGGGATCCAGAGTTGAGGCGCTGAGGCGCTGCACACAGCAAGGGGTACAGACTGGGGCCAGAGGGCCTGTAACCTTTAAGGGATCAGTTTCTTACTCTTTGTTTTCACAGGCCTAGTTCCCCGGGAGCGCTCAGACAGTGGGGGCTCCAGCTCAGAGCCATTTGAGCGCCACGCACCCCCTCTCCTACGGGAACGAGGAACTCCACCGGTGGATCCAAAGTTGGCCTGGGTGGGGGATGTGTTCGCCACCCCACCCACAGACCCGCGCCCACTCACCTCGCCGCTGCGCCAGACGGCGGACGAAGACGACAAGGGGCTGCGGTGAGGCTGGGGTGGGAGCCGGGGCCTCGATGACAGGGATGGGCGGGAAAGGCCGGCCAGCTGCTGAGCGTCCTCATCCTGAGAGGCTCCTTTCTGTTTCCTGAGAGGCTCCTTTCTGTTTGTCTCCCGTCTTCAGGAGTGAGACCCCTCCAGTGCCTGCCCCGCCGCCTTACCTGGCCAGTTATCCCGGCTTTGCAGAGAACGGAACCCCTGGGCCTCCCCTGTCACGATTCCCTCTGGAGGAGCCAGCTCCCCCCGGACCCCGTCCACTCCCCTGGCCCCCTGGCAATGAAGAGGCTGCCAAGATACAAGGTCCACCACCCAAGAAGGAGCCCCCCAAGGAGGAGCCTGCACCGCCGCCATTGCCAGAAGCAGGCCGCAAGCCCACCCGTGGCGTTGGGGGCCAGGGCCCTCCACCACCACGCAGAGAAAGCCGCACTGAGACGCGCTGGGGCCCCCGCCCGGGGAGCAGTCGCCGTGGGATCCCCCCTGAGGAGCCAGGCGCCCCTCCCCGCCGAGCCGGGCCTATCAAAAAGCTGCCACCACCCGCAAAAGTTGAAGAACCACCTCCTAAACCCCTGGAGCAAGGGGATGAGACCCCCAAAGCCCCAAAGCCAGATCCACTGAAGATGGCCAAAGGGAAGATGGGGCCCAAGGAGACCCCACCCGGTGGGAACCTGTCTCCTGCACCGCGGCTTCGGAGGGACTACTCCTACGAAAGAGTGGGTCCCACCTCTTGCCGAGGTCGGGGCCGAGGAGAGTATTTTGCCAGAGGAAGGGGTTTTCGGGGGACCTATGGGGGGCGGGGGCGGGGAGCCCGAAGCCGCGAGTTCCGCAGTTACCGGGAGTTCCGTGGGGATGATGGGCGTGGAGCGGGGACAGGGGGACCGAGCCACCCCTCTGCTCCCCGAGGCCGCACTGCCAGTGAGACCCGAAGCGAGGGTTCAGAGTATGAGGAAATCCCCAAGCGGCGTCGGCAGCGAGGCTCGGAAACGGGCAGCGAGACACATGAGAGTGACCTGGCCCCTTCAGACAAGGAGGCGCCCCCACCCAAGGAGGGTGCGCTCGCCCCGGTCCCCCTTGGCCCACCCCTTCTGAGCGTACCCCCATCACCAGCCCCGGCCCGCTTCCCTGCTGCCCGGGGTGGCCGGGTCTTCACCCCAAGAGGGGTGCCATCACGTCGGGGCCGGGGAGGCGGGCGCCCCCCTCCTGCCTGTCCAGGCTGGAGCCCTCCAGGCAAGTCCCTGGTTCCAAAGAAACCTGCATCGGGCCCTCTCCCCCTGAGTAAGGAGCCCACGAAGGAGAAGCTGATCCCGGGGCCTCTGTCTCCTGTGGCCCGCGGAGGTGGCAGCTTGGGCACCGTCGAAGATGGGGAGCGACCACGCCGGCGGCGGCACGGCCGGGCTCAGCAGCAGGACAAACCACCTCGGTTCCGGAGGCTGAAGCAGGAGCGGGAGAGTGCTGCCCGGGGGGCTGAGGGCAAGCCCTCCCCGCTGGCTCTTCCAGCCTCTGCTCCTGGACCCGAGGAGCCTTCGGCCACGGTCCCAGGGGCCGCGCTGCCTCGCCGGGCAGCTGCCAAGTCTCCCGATCTGTCGAACCAGAACTCTGATCAAGCCAACGAGGAGTGGGAGACTGCGTCGGAAAGCAGTGACTTCGCCAGTGAGCGCCGGGGTGACAAGGAGGCGCCCCCGCCAGCGCTTCTGACCTCGAAGGCTGTGGGGGCCCCTGCGGGCGGTGCAGGTGCTGCGGGGCCGGGCCTCTCTGCAGTGTCCCGCGGAGACCTGAGCCAGCGAGCCAAGGACCTGAGCAAGCGGAGCTTCTCCAGTCAGAGGCCTGGCATGGACCGGCAGAACCGGCGCCCGGGCCCCAGCAGCAAGGCTGGTGGCGGCAGTGGTGGCAGTGGTGGAGGTCCTGGGGCAAGGACGGGACCAGGAAGAGGGGACAAGAGGAGCTGGCCCTCGCCCAAGAACCGGAGGTGGGTGGGAAGGCTGGTTTTCTCCACCCCTGTGGTTTACGCAGTCGGGGAAGGCGAAGGGCACCAGGGCAGCCCCGACCTGAGGGTGCAGATTGCTCGGGTACAGGGCTTTGCTGGCAGCTATGGGAGGCAGACTGCTGGTGGAGTTGATGTTCCAGCTTCTCACCCCCAGGACCTGGGGCGGGTGAAAGCCCTTAGTCTGGCCCAGATTGTAAGGGGAGGGGATGGGGACCCGTAGGCCTGACGTGCGGGGAGAGCTGTGCAGTGACAGTCCGGTGTTCCCTTGTGCTGATGCTTTGTCCTGTTCCCCTCAGCCGCCCTCCAGAGGAGCGTCCCCCAGGGCTCCCTCTGCCTCCCCCGCCCCCCAGCAGCTCTGCTGTCTTTCGTCTGGACCAAGTTATCCACAGCAACCCCGCTGGCATCCAACAGGCTCTGGCCCAGCTGAGCAGCCGCCAGGGGAGCATTGCAGCACCAGGGGGCCACCCGAGGCCCAAGCCTGGGCCGCCTCAGGCCGCTCAGGGCTCAGCCCCTCGGCTCCCGACCCAATTTGACCCCCCGAGACCCCCCGGGGACAGCAGCTCAGGTGAGCTGGGGGCGGTGCGGCCTGCTGGGGGGGCTTCAGGGAACAGGCGGACGTAGGGAGAAAAGCTGACCCTCTGTTCTTCCGCAGAGCCCCACTTGGAGGAGGCAGGGCCAGTGGCAAGGGAGGCAGGCAGGGTGCCTCCAGACTCCGCCCCGGCGAATCCCTTTCCTCACAAATGGCGGGAGCGGCCGCCTCAGAAACCGGAGCTGCTGCAGGAGGTGAGGGCTGGGACTGAGCCACCTCCCTGTGGAAGGCCTGGTCCTGGCTTTCCGCTCTTCGCTGTCTTGGCCCCGTGTTGTCACCGCTGGTTTTTCTAGTGGTCTGGGGTGCTGCCCCCATGTCTCCTTTGTCCCACTCCACGTTCCCCAGTGCCTGCTTCATGGCTGGCCTCCGGCCTTTCTCACGTTTAGGAGCCTCTGCCTGCTTCTCATAGTTCTGTGTTCTTGGGCTCCAAGCCTGAGGCCCCAGGCCCTCAGGGAGACTCCAGAGATGCGAGTACCGAGGCCCTGACACCCCACCTCTGGGACCGGTTACACACTGGTGAGTGCGCGGGTGGAGGAGAGGCCGGGAGGGGGCTCAGGGGGCTGAGCTTTAGAGCTGTCTTCTGCCCCTGTTCTCTAGCCACCAGCCGGAAGAACTACCGGCCTGGCTCTGTGGAGCCCTGGATGGAGCCTCTGAGTCCCTTTGAGGACGTGGCTGGCACAGAGGTGAGTGGGTGGGCGGCGGGCTGTTCTCACACAGGCATCGCCTTGCGTGTTCGTGTGCGCGTCGCTGAGATCCTGGGGCGCTTTCCCACCGTGGCTTAACCAGTCCTTCTCCACTCCTCTCAGATGAGTCAGTCTGACAGTGGGGTGGACCTGAGTGGGGATTCTCAGGTGTCATCAGGTCCCTGCAGCCAGCGAAGTTCCCCTGACGGAGGACTCAAGGGGCCAGCGGAGGGACCCCCCAAGCGGTCTGGAGGCCCCTCGCCCCTGAGTGCCGTTCCTGGTGAGGGTCCACCTGGCTCTGAACCCTCGGAACCTCCTAGGAGACGGGCGCCCACCCCCCACGATGCGGATAGAAAGGTCAGGACACCAAGGATGTTTCCAGGGGCCCCGTGTTATCCTCCCTTGGCCGTTCCGCTTTGGGGGGTTCCCTGCTTGGGTTTCACTCTCCTCCGTCCACTTTCCCTTTACTGTGTTCCCAAATCCAGGAGCTGCCCCGGGAGCAGCCTCTGCCCCCCGGCCCCATAGGCACAGAACGATCACAGCGGGCAGACAGAGGGCCAGAGCCAGGACCTCTGCGGCCGGCCCACAGGCCTGGTCCTCCAATCCAGCTGAGCACAAGCGACAAGGTTTGTGTGGCGGGTGACCTTGCTGGGTGGGAAGAAGACAAGGGCCATGGGTGGGATGCGGGCGACATGTTTGCATCGTGGTGTTTGCCTCCAACCTTTCCATCACAGGACTCAGACCTGCGCCTGGTGGTGGGAGACAACTTAAAGGCGGAGAAGGAGCTCCCGGCGTCAGCCCCCGAGGTAGGTGAAGAACATGAGCTTGGGGAAGGTGCTGGGAGGATCTGGATGCTTGTCTGACGAGCTCGCTCCTGCCAGGCCATTCCGATACCTCGGGACTGGGAGCTGCTCCCCGGTGGATCTGCTGCAGCTGAGCCGCAGGCCAAGAGCGTGGGCTCTGGGCATTGTGGCCCGGAGCCCAGCTCCTCTGGCCAGCGCCTGTACCCAGAGGTCTTCTACGGCAGCCCTGGGCCTCCCAGTTCTCAGGTGGGCCTCAGTTCTCTTATGCCCCTGTGAGCGAAGAGTCGTAGCCCTCTGCTTGCTGTCTCCTGCCCGAGCCTGAGCTGCACAGCTGTGAAACACCATGTCGTTACTCCACCTTTCAGTGCGCTGGGTGGGTCGGATGAGTTTCTTGATCAGACACTGGAGCTACTTCTTCCCTGCTCTTAACAGGTCTCTGGGGGAGCCATGGACTCTCAGTTACACCCCAACAATGGGAGCTTCCGCCCTGGCACGCCCTCGCTGCACCCTTACAGGTGAGCCTGGATAGAGGCCTGAGGGGAGGGGAAAGCACCATTTCGGGTACGAGGCTTGTGCGTGGAGAGACTGCCCAGACTCGAGAGCACACGCTCTGCCTCACTGACCCGTCCCCCCCCATTGAATTTTAGGTCCCAGCCCCTCTACCTGCCCCCAGGCCCGGCTCCCCCCTCGGCACTGCTCTCCGGGGTCGCTCTCAAGGGCCAGTTTCTGGATTTCTCAGCGCTGCAAGCAACAGAGCTGGGGAAGTTGCCAGCCGGAGTTCTGTACCCTCCGCCTTCCTTCCTCTACTCTCCAGCTTTCTGCCCCAGCCCTCTGCCGGACCCACCCTTGCTTCAGGTGCGAGCCGGGCAGCTGCTGGGTGGGCGTGTGCCTGGAGCGGAGGTGGCATGTGTCTCCCGTCCCTGACAGGTACGCCAGGACCTACCATCCCCTTCGGACTTCTACTCTACTGCTTTGCAGCCTGGTGGACAAAGCGGCTTCCTTCCTTCGGGGGCCCCTGCCCAGCAGGTACCCGGTATCTCCTCTCATCCCCTTCCTTTCCGGTGTTTCCCATCCCCCGGCACCATCTCCATGTGTCTTGCCACAGATGCTGCTGCCCATGGTGGACTCTCAGCTGCCCGTGGTGAACTTCGGCGCGCTGCCCCCTGCGCCGGCCCCTGCGCTGCCCCCGCTCTCGCTGCTGCCCGTGGGCCCCGCTCTGCAGCCTCCCAGCCTGGCCGTGCGGCCCCCACCCGCACCTGCAGCTCGGGTGCTGCCTTCACCTGCCAGGCCCTTCCCCCCGAGCTTGGGGCGCACAGAGGTGAGGCCAGGGCTGGGGGCGGGGGGGCTGTGGTGCTAAAGGCAGGGGTCTCGATTCCCGGTCTCAGGCAGAGAAGCAGGAGGCTTAGGAATGTTTTTTGTTTAGCTGCACCCAGTGGAACTAAAGCCGTTCCAGGATTACAGAAAGCTGAGCAGCAACCTTGGGGGATCTGGGTCATCACGTACTCCCCCAGCTGGAAGGTGAGCTGGAGTGGCGCATAGACTGTCCCTGTCCTACCCCCTGGGGCCAGGAGCCAGGCGTTAGCAGGCTTTAAACAGCTTTCTCCTGCAGGTCCTTCTCTAGTCTCAGTTCCCGTCTCAAGGCCCCGCCTTCCACCTATAGCGGCGTGTTCCGCACCCAGCGCATCGACCTCTACCAGCAGGTGGGGGAGAAACCCTTGTAACCCCATCAGAAGTGGTTCCTGAGTTCCTCATGCCTTGCTGACTTCCTCCTGCCCTCAAACCTATCCCACAGGCCTCCCCGCCAGATGCCCTGCGCTGGATCCCGAAGCCTTGGGAGCGGACAGGCCCACCTGCTCGAGAGGGACCTTCCCGAAGGGCAGAGGAGCCTGGGTCCCGAGGGGACAAGGAGCCTGGATTGCCCCCACCGCGCTGAGGGCATCCCCTGCCCCCGCCCCTGGGGCTTGTATATAGACTATAAATATATAAGGGGGAGAGGGGCGGGTGGGGAGGGCTTGTGGGGCTGGAGCCTCGCTTCCCCTCCTCCCCCTTCCCCGTCCCCTGTCCCTGGGGCCGTTTGTTAAAAAAGAGTAATAAAATAATTTAAAAAAATATTTCCACCGTGACTTGGGGGATGAGTTGATTGTAACATCCTTTCAATGGAAATGAGTACTTACTGTGGTGATGTTGAACTACCTTCCGATTTAACCACTTTCTGGGGTCTGGGGGTTGGGTTGGTTGCTTGCAGAAGTGGGCATCTGCAAAGTAGACCTTCACTTAGTCTCCATTGGGGTCCTGCAGCAGGGTGGTGAGGCTGTGGTCTTGCCAGTCTGTGCCAGTTCAAGAGGTGCAGGAGGGGACACGCGGTTGGTTGGTTTTGAAAACTAGCTGCAGAATCAGTAGTCGTCCTGAACATCTGAGCACTTCCCTAGGGCTTTTTGACCTGGGTGGACCAGGTCCAACACCGTCAACTTAGTTGAATTTCATAGTACGTTATACTAAAACTATACTTGGGTCTGCAGCTGCTCAGATTATATGGTGTTTTTGTATCACTTATTTAGAATAAGTTCTCTTCCATCTCAGGAATGAACTGCACAAAAATCCAGCCTCATCACGAAACAAGCTTGCACATAACATGCTGCATGTACACTCATGAGCTATCATCCAGCTCGTTTGCCAGGGAGAGGATTTCAAAATAAGTTCACAGAGAAGTAAGGGACTCAAGACTAAGACAAGTTAGAGACGAAATGAGCCAGAAAAGTCCGACTTTTATTTCTTAAATACTGTGGAGGAGGGGGAAGTGGTCCCCCCGGTGAGGAAGGGCCAGGGCCACGGAGCAGAGAGCTAGGGATCCTCAGCGAAGGCCCGGTGGGCGTTGGGGAAGCGCTGGGGGCTGTAGTTGGGGTCTTCCTGCAGCCGTTTTTGTATGTCGGACCGGAGCTAGAGAGCAAGAGAGCGAGCGGGTTGGAGGGGCACTGGTCAAGCCCTGAAAGCCCAGCAAGCATGAGACCATCCCTCGGGAGCGAGCGCTCCCCACCAGCCAAGAGACTCAGCCCAACTGGAGGCATCGCTGAGCCTTCCCAGATGCCACTGAGGGAAACCAGGACATCGAGTGGCAGCCCACTTCACCTCTGAAGGATCCGGGAAGAGGGACCCTAGCCCAACCCTCCCGCTAGACCATCCCTATTCTGCTTCCGGTGGGGGCACCTGCTGCCTGTAGCTCTCCTGAACCTCTGGTGCCTCCAGGTCCCGGCTCAGGCTCTCGGGGCTCGTCAGGGGCCGAGCTCCGGCTGCCTTAGCTGCCCGGCTCACGGCCTCTGAGAGAAGCAGCTGGGGGCCCTCACCCTGCATCGTCTGGGGGACGGGGTTGGGAGGGAAAAGAGGATCACAGTCAGATCCAGGGTCACCACCCAGCTCACCCTTTCCACAAGTCAACCCGAGTCTAGGCCAGCGGAGAGGAGAGCAACAGCCCGCGTGTGTGACGCAGAAGCCTTCCTAACCGGCTCGGGCCCAAGCAGCGCGTCTTGACGTGCTGCCCTGCTCTTCTAAACAAGAAGGGCCAGGTGGGTGGAGCCAGCAGGGATTCAGAGCTAGCTAATCCGCAGGAGGGGGCCCACCTTCCAGCAGCCCCCACGCCTGGGGTCGGGCAGCTGCTGAGGGACTAAGGACTGCTAGCAAACACAGTCAGATGAAGAGCAAGCCCGAGTCCCCGCGAGGCCCCCTCACCAATAAGGTGCTGAACTAGGAAGAGCGCCTTCCAGCTCTAGTTGACCCTAAGCACAACGGGGAAGCTGGGTAGAGAGGGCTGCCAGGGAAGAGGCAAACAAACCTTGCGTCTCTTGGCAGGCATACCACTGAGGTAGGCATCACTCAGAGGCGGCTGTGGTTTCACCTTCCGCTGGCTTTGAATGTCCTGCTGGATAATAGGGACCCATTCCTGAAGGGGAGAAGAGCAGAAAGTAATTCCCATAGCCTGCAGCCACCTCACCCGCTGCATCTCCTCGCGACACTTACCGGGGGAACCGCAGCTGCCCAAGGCTCTGTCTCGGCGGAAGCGCCATCCTGGTCATCTTGGGGGCCCCCCTCAGGAGCAGGGGGTGGCCCTCTGGACATGGCCTCCTCTGCTGTTGTTCCGGGGGCTGGGGACGCGTTCTCCCGCTGGCAGGCAGGCAGAGGGAAGATTCAGATTTCAGAATCCCCAGCTCCAGCTGCTCTTCCCGGCCCTCCTGTCCACACTCTCCGGCCCCTCAACCTCTCCTCTACCTGTGGCTCGGGGGAAGCTCGTTCTGCTCCCTGCACTTCCATTGGCTCCTCAGAAAGTGGCTGTGAAATTGGATAAAGAGGACCACACAGAAGCCCTCTCAGATCTCTCCAGCTCCCTGCAGGGCCCTCCCCTGGCCCATCATATCCATTACCTGGGGCGGGTCACCAACCCTGCGAATGTATCTGAGGATGGCGTCGGGGCCCACAGGCATGTGCTCCAGGACCACTTGCAGCCTCAGTCCCATCATCGTGGTCAGCCAGCTCACCAAGGATGGGTTCACGCCACGAGACATACGGCGCTGGGGGCAGAAAGCAGACTTGCAATACAAAACCCTCAAGCAGCTTTTGTAGTCTACCAGATCCAGGATAACAGGCAGCGGTTTGGAAAGGAACAAAATCCACGGGAGACCAAACGAGACGAGGCTGGGGACCTGGGCTTGAGCAGTGCTTACGATTCGGCCATTGATGACGGCAGCGAGCTCCATCTGCTGTCCCCCCAAGCAGTGCAGGTTCAGGGCCAGGCATTCAAACAGGCCCTGGTTACACAACTCCAGCAAGCGGGCTCCAAATCCACTGTCTGGGGACAGATGGAGGAAGACACTGGGACCCAGCAGCACCTACACCCTGCCAAGCCCATGCACCCTGCTGGCCGGCCCTGACCTGTGCAGTGCAGCACGTGGGCAGCAATGCTATTGAACTGTTCCTGGAGGAATTCTAGGTTTGTCCGGATGATGTCCACACCTGGCTGAACCTGTACCAAAGACTGAGAAACAAGACACAAAATATCTCCAAACCAGAAACTCAGAGAAGAAAGGGACAGAGGAAGATGAGACAACGGCAACTCTATGCTGCTGCCCCACTCAGGCCCAGGAGACGGATACAGAAGGGTACTCACGAAGCTCTCCCGCACATACTCCTCCAGCCCGGCAATCAGAGTGTGCGTCGCCATCTACGGGGCGACATCACAGGTTTACTTACAAGCCCCAGGCCTCAAGACACCCCCGCTACCCCAAGAAGTCCAGGACTTGGCTGGGGCCACTGCTATGCAAACAGGTGGGAGGAGCAGAGCTCTGGAGCCCCAGGCCTTCACTTACCCGGATGTTACCAGGGGTGGGCTCCTGGCCACCCAGGTAGTGCTGGTGGAAGAAGGACCGAAGCTGGGGCTGGAGCCGCTGCAGTGGCTGGAAATGCCCATGGAGCAGCATCACCACGTCCACCATGGAGAAGTTCTGGCACAGGAGAGAGAGCAGGGCCCCAAAGAACCCTGGCGAAGGGGACGGAAGTCAGCACTGGCCTTCACTACCTGGCCTGTCCACCCCCACCCCAACCAGGCCACCAGCCCCGTCCTACCGCACCAACGGCCCTGAGCCAAGGCCGGCCCGCTCTCCCCGGCTGCCTTCCCGCACCTTCCTTCTGCTTACCGAGGGCCCCGTCAGCTCCAGGCTCGAATATGTTGCTGGAGCCACTGAGGCGCTGGATGAAGGCGGCGATGCTCTCACTGCTGCCAGCGCGTGCCCCCAAGGAGCCCAGGAGGGAGCTCAGGACGCCCTGCACCACTGAGGTAAAGAACTCCGGCGGCAGGCTCTCTGGACCCAGGCCTCCGGGACTCCCCGTGCCTCCGGAAGGGGACCCTGGGGGTGGGGCGCTCTGCTGCTCCGGGGCAGGGGGCGGCGGCGGAGGGGGCGGAGGAGGCGGAGGGGCCGTCTGTGTTGCCTGCCAGAAATACCAAGAACAAACAGAAGGTAAGAACAGGGATGAGGACGCACAGGTGCGCGGCAGGACACAAGGCGAGGCGAGGGGCCGGGACACGGCACAAGCTGCACTCTGGTCCTCGCTCCCCACGGTGGGACACACTCAGCGTCAGTCAGACCGAGCCGCGCGGGGCGGTCAGAGCACAGTGCCCCCATCCTCACTCCCTTACAGCCCTGTTTTCCTCATCTCCAAAACAGAGCGTTTGCAAGCCACGGCTTCCCTTCCCGACAACGTCCGCTGTGGGTACGGACACAGTACCCCTGCTTGGCTGAGCTGGGGGCAGGAACGGTGAGGTGACAGGCAAGTTGGCCACTGACCTGCAGAAAATCAGTCATGCCCTGAAGAAAGGCCGGGACTCCAGGCATCGCCACGGTAATGGTGGGGGAAGCCACGCCAGGCCCGCCGGGCCCGCCAGCCCCGGAGCCTGCAGGCCCCAGCAAGTTCCCCAGGAGCTGAGAGAACTGGAGATCGGTGGTGGAGGGCTGAGGGGGTGGAGGCTGGGCAGGCCCCCCAGGAGCGGGGCCGGCTGTGGTGGCCGTGTTGGTGGTGCCTGCACTGGCCGAAGCAGTGGCAGGTGCTGGGGGTGGAGCCATTCCTGGGGTCCCCTGAGCTATTAGGAACCAAAAAGAGGAAAAGGAAATTTTGAGGAAACCTAGATGCTATAGCAGCCCCATTCTGATCTTTCTGGCAAAAAAGCAAACCACTAGGAGAAATGGAAAGAACCAGAAAGGACCATCGAGCAGACTAGAAGCGGGTGTCGGACCCAAAACACATGCAAGTTTCTCAGGTTGGAGCAGGGACAAGGACTCACCAACAAGGACCGGCTGCATAAGAAGCTGCCCTACAAGGCCGCTCACCATCTGGGCCAGCGAGGCGTTAGAGCCCAGCCCGGCGCCCTGCTGCGGGGAGAGAGGGGGCTTTCAGTCCCGCCCCTCCCCGAGATGTCTCCCAGGACCTTTCCCCCAGGACGCCCCCACTCTTCTCACCAGAGCCCCCGAGACCGCGGGCCCCCCAGGATGGGAAGGTCGAGCCTGAGGCGGGGTTGGCCGGGCAATCACCACCCGTGTTGGAGCTGTTGGGAAGCCTGGCACCTGCTGTCCTGTGTTGGCAGAGAGAGACCGGAAAGAGCTGAGGGCCGGGCCCCTGCCCGCCAGCCAGCCATACCCGCCACCATGGACTATGCCCCACCTCCCCGCTTCCCCTTCCGGGTCATTACCTGCGGCCGCGGAGGCAACAGCTGCCACCATGGCCTGATGAGTGATCTGGTGGGCGACGGCGTGCATGAACTCAGGGGGCAGGGAGGGCAGCTGGATGAGGGTGGAGCCTGGGGGGCGGGTCTGATGTAGCCTTGAACCTGGACCCCTTCACCCCACCCCTTCAGCCCTACCCCTTCTCTACCAGAGCTCAGCCTGCTCTGACGCCCTTACTCTTACCCAGGGTCTGGCCATGACCAGGGGGTCCTAGGGGGCCAGTGGGAGCACTCGGGACACCACCAGGCTGTGTGGCAGAATCTGGGCAGGGAGACAGAGATGGTGACCCTGAGACCGTGGGGCCGAGGCCTAACTGAGGTCCGCCGTCCTGCAGGCCCCACGCCATCTGACAAGAGGAAGCGCTCACACCATGTGCAAGGACAAAGCAGCCCCTGCCCAACCCCCTCCCTCACACCGCAGCGCCGAGCCCACCCCACTCTCCTCAGCCCCTCACCTTGAATGTTCATGTGCATCATGACCACGGGCTCCACGCTCTGGTGGGAAATCCGGATGACCCTCGGGTGGCCGGTGGCTGGTGGGGGAGCCGGCCCTGGGGGAGCGCCCCCCTCAGATGACGACTCAACCGTGGCAGAAGACGGAGCCAGGGATGAGGCCTGGCCAGGCCCAGGGGGAGATGCCTCTGAACTGGGAGTTGGGGGGGGCCGAGTCCCATTTCCTGTCATGGTCACGGTAGTCCCCACATTGATCTGGAAGACAAAGGCCAGGCAGCAGTGAGAAATCACAAGAGCCTACCACAGAGCACCCCACAACTCACTTCTGAGGTCTTCCCCATCCCTCATGGCCTCCTGTCTCAAAGCCTTGTCCTTCTGGAACCTCCTTCAAGCCTAACAGTCGCTCACGCCCACCTTCCCCGTCTTCCCGGGTAGCCCGCGACCACCTGAATAGGAATGGCTGCCTGCTGGAGCACCATGGGGGTGGTGTAGTGAGACATGGGCCGGACCACATGCAGGTGGCGCGGGGGAGCGCAGGCTAGGTTGCAGCGCAGGTCTGACAGCGCCACGAAGGTGTTGCCCAGCAGCCGCAGGCTCTCTCCCACCAAGTTGATCAACCTCTGGTCCTCCTCACGGCCTTCATGCTGTGCACCAGGGATCAGAGAGGGAAGTATTCAGGAGATGTGCACCTTACCGACCTCAGCAGCAGTGCCTCCCAAGGACTTGCCTCGTGCCTAAGGCTTCTGCACAGACCAAAGCTGGGCGAATGAATCTATGTCACACAGGAGAATCACATCCTCCTCGGCAGCGCGTGCTTCAGCAACGCACGCACCAACATTTCCTCCTGAAGCGGACTTCACGAGGAACCACTAAGTCATCGTCTAGCACTGTCCCTCCTACATAACTCCTCAGGGGTGCAAGGGCTACAAGGACGCTGGGCCCTGCACGATTATCTTGCCTGGGAGGGAGGAAAGATCCCTTAACTGGTCTAGAGGAATTTTGTTGCAACGTGGTCGAGGGAGGCTCAAAGGGTTATCTAACCCTGCTTTGTTTCGGGGAGTACTGAGGAGGGTCAGGCAGGGCAGGGGAGACCATCCAGGGCTCACGTTGTTGTTGTAGTCTGTGGTGGCGGCAGCGCCCAGGACCTCATAGTAGCGCTGCAGGAAGGGCTGGAGGCGGCTCTCCAGCCGGTGCAGTTCCTGCAGCACCTCGACATATTCCGCAGGGGACGGATGGCTGTGGACAAGCCGAGGACACTGAGCCAGGGCTGTCCTGAGCGCCCCCCTCGCAGTTCACAGGGGCCGCATCTGCCCTCCCCCAGCCCCGGCCCAATCTCTTCCTGGACTAGCAGTTTCTGTCCTTCACTCCCGCCTATGGGAAGACTGCGAAAAGAAGATGAACTAGTCCTCCTCTCCTTGCCACGAGCCCACACCACCAATGAATGGCAAGACACTAACTGGAAAAAAAAAGAACGGGCCAGTGTGAACTCTGAGCAGGCTCAGGAGGAATCAGGGCAGCAGGGAGAGAAGAGCATCCACTCAGCGGCCAGCGCAAGCTCACTCAGCTAGAGAGCCCTCTGCACACACGCGCGCCCTGCAAGGGCCGAGCTACGCCTCTGCTCCCACGGCAACTGTCCTGGTCCTCAGACCACACTCAGCAAAACCCAGGCCCCCACAGGTTCCCGCCGTGGCTCACTTGGGCGCGTTTGTCTCCGGAGCAGGCGCTGGCCCTGCTGGGGCTGGCCCAGAGGGAGCGAGCTCTGGACTCTGGGCTGCAGCGCGCTCCTCCGCGTCAGCCTCCATGGGCTCCCGAGGCGGTGCTTCACTTCCGGCTGCTTCTGAGGGTTGCGAGCTCAAGGCTACTGGCTCTGGGGCCACAGTTGGCGTCTGAGGGGGTGGCTGACTGGGCTGTGCTTGCGGCGCCCCTCGACACTGAAGGTAGGGAGAGCCAAGACACCAAACACAGAGTGAGAGTGCTGTGAGGGATTACTCAGGCCAAAGGCACACGAGCAGGGACAGTGCCCCGACTAGGCTCCCCGAGGAAGGCCTACACGCCTATCGCCGACTCCCTAGCCATCAGTATATGACTGGCTCAAGTTAGCCGCACAAGAAATGGCCATAGTATCTGTGAAGAAATTAATAAAAAAAAGTAGGGACTGGGACTTCCTAACCTCCACAGAGAGGAAAAACCACAAGATTTCCATAAGAACACAAGCTAATGAAGTTAGGGCAGCCCAATACCAAAAATGACAGTCACAAAATTAACACTGTGGGGTGCTTTGTTCACTGAAGAGATACCATGGAGTTATCTGACAAGTCCGAAACAAACTCCCCAGATAGCAGGAATCAAGAGGACTGGCAGCGACAAGAGAGCTCACAAAGATACTTTTTCTGCCTAAAAGAACAATTGCAGCTAAGAGACCAGACCAGGAAGGCAGGACTTGTGGACGTGGCCCGACGTGCCCTCATCCCCAGGCTGCGCGCAGAGGGCGAAGAGGTGCTCGCTGTACCTGCCCACTCACCTCCATGCGGGACAGTAAGGTCTGTATATCCCTGATCATGTGCTGGGCCATCACCAGCCGAACCCGAGGCTCACTCTGCAATAAGACAGGGCAATCAGGGCAGCTGTGAGACCGAGCCATGAGCTCCACCCCTGCTAACCCAGGTCCCAGGCATCTCCTCAGCCAGATCCACCCCGCCTCGTAGCCTCCTTCTCCCAGATCCCCTTCCCTGACCCTCCCAGGCCCCGCAATACCTGAATGGGGGCCTGTTCCATGTTGATGTGAACGTCCACAGCAGAGCCGTCACTCTGGGGAAAGGGTAGGGAAGTTGCTCTGGGAGAAGTCAAAGACTAAGGCCTGCACACCTCCAACTCACTCTCCGGAGTACTAGCCCCATTCCTCAACACGTCAGGATAGACCAGAGGGCCCTCCAAGCCCAAGCTAAAAGCCTGGACACCTAACTCCTAAACACCCTGCTGCCACAGCTAAAACTACCCTTCCCCACAAACCCTCCTGAGTGGAACACGAGCTTACAGGAAGATTGAAGGTTCCAACCATGACATAGCTGTTGGCATTCCGGTCATGAACAGAGGCCCCTGGCCCCCGAGTACCAGGCAGGGGTCCCCCACCATGGGTGGCTGAGGTAGATCCTGTCCCAGAAGATGCTCCAGAAGGGAGCTGAGTCTGAGGAGGAGCCCGTTCCACAAGGTGGATAACCTTTCCCCCAACATCTGCAGAAAAAGAGATATACACCAAAGCATTAAGTGAGCAAGTAAACTCATGCCTTAGCTCCCCTCTCTGGACGGCACCCTCAAGCCCTGAACTGCCACCCCCAACCCCTTACTGTATTCCTGGAGCTTCTTATCATCCTGCAGAACTCGCCCCTGGTAGATGAGCCGTTGTTTCTCAGAGGGAATGCTGACAGAGGCAGCAATGTGCTCCTTAAACTCCTTTACATTCATCTGCAAGAAGAGTCATACACAGAAATCAGGGAACGAAGGGAAAGGGGAGAACTAAAGACAAGTAACTCACTTGAGGTGAACATTACAGTGGCCAAACCATCATGGTGGCATACACCTATAATCCCACCACTTGGGAGGCTGAGGCAGGAGGACTGCTGTAAGTTCAAGGCCAGGCTGGGCTACATGAGTTCAAGGGCAGCCTGAACCCAAAAAACGAACAAACACACACACACACAAACAAAACCACGTTATGTTCATTACCAGCCTGTCTTGATTATGTGGCAATTATGGTACAAAGGCCTGAGCCAAGACAACACATGTCCAAATACAGACAATAAATAACAAAATTCAGCCTAGAGACTCAGGAGAAAATAACAAGGATGAGTAGAAAATCAGCCCGCCCGACGTGGTGGTGTGCGCCACCACCAGAGTGGTGGTTATTTCCACCACTCTGAGAAACTGAAGTAGGAAGATTGAAAGCCCAGCCTAAGCAACATAATGAGACTTTGAGTCAAAAAATAAGCCCTTGGGACGCAGCAGAGTGCCAAAGACCAGGGTTCAAAGCCCAGTACCACAACAGAAAAAACAAAAAGCCAACTGACATTCCTTCTCTCCTCCTCTGCCTGGCTCCCAAAGGAACGAGTTAGTGATAACAGCGACCCCTTCCCAAACACAAAATACTACTTTTCTTATCCCCTGTAATCTCGAAGATAAAGACAAAGTAAGAGGGACAGAGCGGGGAATCAAGGAAGGCTAAGAAGATAAGAAGGAGCAAAAGGCTAGAGATGTAACTCAGTGGCAGAGCATTTGCCTAGCAAGCACAAAGGTTCCATCCCCAACACCACAAAAAAGGGAAGAAAAAAAAATACATTTTCTCTAGACAAACGACTATTGGAAAATACCAGAGCATTTACGTATACACAGTAATCACAAAAACCTACGATTTTCCTTTTGTTTTTCCGTTTGCTTGTTTTCTGAGACAGGGTCTCCCTATGTCTCAGGCTGGCTTTGAACTTACTATGTAGCCCAGGTTGGCCTCAAACTCATGGTGATCCCCCTGCTACAGCCTCTAGAGTGCTGTGCTTAGACGTGTGTGCTACCACACCCAGCAATTTTCTTTAATATGTTTAGGAAACTAAAGATCAATCAGCTCATGATTTTTGTCTCTAAGAAATACAGAAGAAAAAACATAGATAACTATGTTTATACCATTAAACTCAAGACATAATTATTACACCACAGGTACTAATAATCCCACTCAGTAGTCCACTGGCGCTCCACTTGAATATGGGTTCCAGTTTCTAGATTTTACAAACAAAGAATACAATGTAATCAAGTTGTTTATAGAAACACTTGTTTGAGGTCCCTGTGTTGTTTCCCTTCCCAAAGGCTGGAGCCCATCCATGACGGTAGCACAGAAAATCCTACTTTCTCTGTACTTCCTTCTGCACTGAGTTCTATTAAATTGAAGAAAGGCACAGCAAAATCTGCCTCATTCAACAGTTACTGTACCTTCTCACTCAAAAAACATAGGCATACCTTCTATCTAGAACGTGAGCAAAGGAATCAATGAAAACAAAACCCAAAAACAAAAGCAGGGTCTTCCCGCAGCCTAAGGAAGGAAGAGGAAGAGCTAAGGTATCTTCCAGAAGTACTGGGGTCTCACCTGGGCCCCTACGATAAAGGTCCGAGTTTGGGAGTCCAGGGTCTTCACCAGCACCTCCAGGCTGTCAGGCTCCTCCATAGCGGCGCCGGGCCTATCACTGGGCTCCATGGCCAACAGCTCCCTAAGGAACAACGAAAGGAGGGAGGCCTGATGTAACCCTTAACAGCTTTTTATACACCCGGAAGCCTCCCTAGCCTGAATCTCCGCCCCAATACCTAAGAAGTTTCTTTTCCTCGAACACACACACTCACACCCGCCCCCATCCTCCTGCTGATTCCGGGCACAGAGAAAGAGACACACACAAAGGGCAGGGGATCGACGACACAGGAGTTGAAGGACGGCGAGGTGGGAGGGGCTCCACAGTGCCAATCACAATAAGGGAGGACCAGTTGGGCCAGGAATCGGGGAAGAACGCACGAGACCAGCGACCCGTGTCATCACCGGTCGCGACAGGGTAAGGGCCCCAGAGAGAGGCAAATCCCGGGGCTACGCGAGAGCCGGGGTCGACCGAGAAAGTGGTTTCGCGCACGCGCGCCACGCCCATCGAACCCGCTGAAATCACTACACACCCAAGACGGCGGACACTCACGCGGCGCTGGACCGGCTAGCGGGCTGCCCCCCTCTTCTGCCTTCCTTCGGCGTTCCGGCAGAGCGGCACAACCAACACGCGGCCCAGCACACATATACACACATACACACCCCACTGCCCTGCGGCTCCGCCCCCGACTGACCCACCGTACCGTCACTTCCGGTCTCCCCCAACCTGCCACCGAAAGCCACTTCCGTTTCCCCGATCGTATTTGGAGAGCTCGAGGCGGTACTTCCGGCTCCCCCCAGGCCCCCAGATTTACTTTCGTAGGGCACGATGAGGAAGTCCGCGGCCCAAAACAGTGAGTTCCTGGGGGAGGGACGGGCAGGGGCCGGCCTAGATGGGAGGGAGCCGAGCACCCTGAGGAGCCGCCGCCGCGTCGCCCGCGGGACCTTACTGCGCTTGCGTGAGTCGCAGTACGCATGCGTACACCCTAAAGCACCGCCCCATGCCCCCATTGGCTCTGCGCACTTAGCTGCGGCGCCCTGGAGTGATAGGCGCAGGTGGCTACTATAAATGCCTAAGGAAAATAAATAAGTACCGTAAGAGACTACGCCTGCCTCCAGAGAGAAGGTGGACGGCCGTGGGGGCCTGGAGCTTGCAGACTGGGGCCCGCCCTCGTTAACCTACGTTAACGGTTTGGCAGGCAGAGCCTTCCAGGAGGCACTGTCCTGGCCACCTAAAGCCCTCGAGCGCCCCCTGGCGTCGTCGCGCCCGGCCCGCGCTCCGGAAGTCACCCGGCGCGGCGGTTAGCGGAGGCTCGAGGGCTGTTTGCTGCGCGGCGCGGCCTCCTGCCAGGTGCTGGTTCGGTCGGGAAGGCGTTTGCGGACTGTGGGCTTCACGTTCGTCAACGGCGGAACGCGGCCGAGGGGCACGGCGTATTTTAGGAAAGCTAAACATGCCACTGCTTTTCAGAACTTTTGTCAAGCAACGAGGCGACTCCCAGCTGGGAGGCTGAGGCAGAAGGATCGCGAGTTCAAACCCAGGCTGGAAAACTTAGTTAAATCCTGTCTCAAAACTTAGAACACGGTTCAGCCGGGCGTGGTGGCGCACGCCTGTAATCCCAGCACTTGGGAGGCTGAGGCAGGAGGATCGTTGCGAGTTCAAGACCAGCCTGGGCTACAAAGTGAGCTCACAGCTGGCCTGAACTGCACTGTAAGACCCTGTCTCAAAAAGACCAAAAAAAAAAAAAAAAAAAAAGAACACGGTTGGGGCCGGAGCTCAGTACAGAAGCCCAGTAAGAAAAAGGGATCGGAGGAGAAAGGGCGCCTCCGAATTGGCAGCAGAAGTCTGACTGGACTGAAAGACAAGATCCTGACACTGGAGACTTGAAGAACCCACCGAGAGGACTGCGGAGGGCTGGGAGATTACATCCTTTCTGTGCGCTCCTCCGCCTTCCCCCAGCCTTCTATTTATACCCAGGTGCCAGCGGGAAGAGTTTCGGTAAACACCTGTTCAGTGAGCACTTACAGTGTTCCAGCCATTGAGCTTAAAGTGGGTGTGGTGGTGCACACCTGTAATCCCAACACTCAGGAGGCTAAGGCAGGAGGATTGCTGCAGGTTCAAGGCCAGTCTGGGCTACAAGGTGAGGCCCTGTCTGAAAACACCAATAATAATCATAATAGTAATACACTGAGCCGTCCCCCAACTGAGACTAGTATTAACATCCGTTTTATAACTGAGCACACCGGTGAACCTATGTAGCAGAACTGACAAATACAGACCTACAGCCTTTGGATGAAGCTCTTCTTTACTGCCAAAAAATTGTTGCACTTTAGTTACAAAAAATTTCAAAGGCTCGGTGTAACTTGGAGAATGCATACTTAGCATGAACAAAGCCCGGGGTTTTCCATCCCTAGCACCAGAAAAAACAAAAATATTTGAACATTGCCCCCAAAATAAAATAGTATAGTTAACCCTGATATCTTCATGACCTAGTTTGTTTTCACTAAATCAAAAGCTGATAGCAAGTCTTATCTCTCAGGGCAAATCTTTCTGTGGTAGCTGATGAGTTACAAATAATTAAGGAAACCTCACGGCAGTAACTTCACCCACTTGGTGCTGTCTCTTGACAAGTCTTCCCATCATTAAGAATTTATCATCCCCCCCAAACTCTAAAAGTGCTTCACAAACACTGCTATTAATTATGGGGAATATTTAGACTTACCACGTGTAACTCTGTACTGAGCGCATCCTCTGAGATTGACTTGTCCATTTTACAGACAAAAAAGGAAAGCACAGAGATTGGTGAATTCTGCCTGACACCACCATCTATCCTCTATTTTTTTTTTTTTTTTCTTTTCTTTGGTGCCAGAAATGGAACTCAGGACCTTGTGCTTGCCAGGCACATGCTGTACTGATGAACTGCATCCCCAGCTGTCTATCCTTTAACCTTTAAATTATGTACCCTCTTTGTTTTTTATTTTGCTTTTGTTTTTTGAGACAGGGTCTCACCATGTAGTTTAGGCTGGCCTTGCACTTACAGTGACCCTCCTGCCTCAGCTTTCCTAGTGCTGAGATTATAGATGTGCGCCACTAAGCCCAGGTGTACCCTCTTTTTGAAATAATAAACTTTGAGTAAATGAGTTCACTTGTGTGTCAGCACGCTGTACCAGGATGGTACTATTTCCCAATTACAGGAACACAAACTTCAGAAAAATCCACCACGCCTGTGCCTGGTTCATACCTGTTTTGAAACATACCAGGCCAGGGGCTGGGGATTTAGCTCAGTGGCAAAGCGCCTGCCTGGCAAGTGCAAGGTCGTGAGTTCGGTTCCCGGTACCGGAGAAAAACCAAAAAGAAAAAAAAAGAAACATACCAGACCAGGTGAGGTGGTGCACGCCTGTAATCCCAGCACTCAGGAGGCTGAGGCAGGATGATCGGCACGAGTTCAAGGCCAGCCTGGGCTACACAGTGAGACCATGTCTCAAAAAAAAAAAGGGTGTATCAGGCTGTATTGTAGTGATTTGTTTACACACCTAGTTTTCCCTCTGCTGACTTCTTCAAGGCCAGGTACCGTGTCTTGGTCACTTTTTCCCTTCGCAGGGATTGGCCATTTCCAGGCAAACAGCTGGGATCCAAAACAGTTTGAAGTGAATGAATGAGAGACCAGGGACAGGCAGCGGGTACTGAGGAGGGGATGAGTCCAGAGGGAGAGGAAGGCCCCTCCATGGCAGGTAATCAGGCCTGAGCTAGAAAACAAGGTTGAAGTTATTCATTAGCAGGTGGAAGGGTCAAGGGTCGAGGAAGGGGGCTGGAGGCAAAGCGCACTGAACAGCCAGAGAAGAGAGCAGTTAAGGCACCAGTCCCCCAGGAGAGCGCCGGCTCCGCCTGCCGAAGATGTTCCAGCGGGTCTGGGCCGCTCTGCTGTATCTCTGTGGCATCCTCCTCAACTCCGTCTATCAGTGCCCTGAGCACCCTCAGCTCACAGCTCTGGGGGTGGATGAGAAAGAGGTAGGGGCTGAGGACGGGGAGTCTGGGCGGAAGCTCGGGTGTGCAGCCCAGGCCCACCAGAAGCCAAGCTGGGAAAGGAAGAAGCGGTGAGGGTGTGGATGATGGTCAGGAGAAGAGAAAATACCCGCATATGGTTATCAATATGGGAACATGGCAAAATCGAGGTGATGGGGTGGTTATCCAGGAGGGCAGGGCATGGACGCAAGGGTACAGTCATCTCAGGAGTCCTTGTCGGGGAACCAAGCCCCATGGGTTGAAAGGAGGCGGCCAGCACCTTTCCTGCAAGTCTTGCTGCACCCCAGTGCTGCAGTTAGGTGGCTCCTGTAGCGCACCCACAGACGCTTGTCTTCTGCTTCGTCTCCAGCTCCCAGAGCGCCACCTGGGCCAGTGGTACTTCATCGCAGGGGCAGCTCCCACCAAAGAGGAGCTGGCCACCTTTGAGTCTGTGGACAACATTGTCTTTAACATGGCTTTGGGCTCCACACCGACGCGGCTGCAGCTCAGTGCCACCATGCGCCTGTGAGTGGTGAGGGGTGCAGTGAGGGCACGGGCTCCCGAGGCCCGGCCCTTGGCCAGTGTACTCCATTCTCAGTCCACCATACGCAGTAGCTCTGCCAGTTGTCTCTGCCCGTCGGCAGCTGGAAACGCGGCGTGAGCTGGGTGTGGGGAAGGACCAAGATGAACAGAGATGTGGGCTGTGTCGTTGGGGTGACACTCAGGACTTTTCCTGGCCACCACCTCTGCAGGAAAAATGGGTTCTGTGTGCCCCGGAAATGGATCTACCACTTGACGGAAGGGAGCACACACCTCAGCACCGAAGGTTGGTTCCCAGCAGCCTCGGCCTTCCCAACCCTCCCCAGCTTGACTTGGCACTTCTGTCCTCAGACTGCCCACCCGCCACCCTGACAGGCCGCCCAGACATGAAGACCGAGCTCTTCGCCAGCTCGTGCCCAGGTGGAATTATGCTGAGAGAGATGGGCCAGGGTTACCAGCGCTTCCTCCTCTACAGTGAGTAGACCCAAGGCAGGCAGGGGGGAGGGCGACGAGCACAGGGCATCTCTCTGGGCCCTGGGCGTGCTCCCAGACGCACTGGGTTCTTCTGTGAAGCCCCCCAGGGGGTGGCACTGAGAAATGGGCTTGGCCCCCCGGCTGCCCCTGACCTTCCAGATCGCTCCCCACACCCTCCGGAGAAGTGCGTGGAAGAATTCCAGTCCCTGACCTCTTGCCTGGACTCCAGAGCCTTTTTACTGATTCCCAGGAACCAAGGTAAGGGGTTAAAGTCTCCCAGGAGACTGGGACCTACCAGTTCTTGGGCAGGTGCTGGAGAGGCTCGTGATCTCTCTCAGCAGAGCGTGTGGCCAAGGCTGACGCCCTCAGAGCAGCACAGCTGACGTTTCTACCTCTCGCAGGCTATGATGGCACCAGAGGAACGTGGCTAAAAGTTGTGATGTCGCATGAGGGAACAAGGATGAGCTATGGGCTCCTCAGATAGGTTTCTGAGTGCAGCGGATACGGGGCAGAGGGTCAGGCGTGCAGGGGAAGAGGCCTCCCAGACTCCTCTGACACGGAACAGCACCGCACTCCCTCCCACCAGCCTTGCCTTGACCCTTAGACCGCCTGACCCCCTTTCCTTCCTCCGCCCCTCCAGAGGCCTGTGAGCTGTCCAGTGGCTGACCTGGGACTGCGGCTGTACCCAGACGGATATGGTGGGGGCTGTGTTTCGGCCAGGGGGAGACCTGAAGAGCCCTTTCACAGATAATAAAGGCCATTTTCCTCCCCTCGCCCCACTCCCCCGTTTCATTTCAACCCTGCCTGGCCCCTCCACCACCTGGCCCTGCCAGACGACGTCAGGAAGGACACTGCTGGCACACCTCTCACATGGTAGTGGTGTATTTAGGGTTTAGTGTGACACGGGTATTTATTGCTGAGTGAGCAAACCCCTGGCCTCCAGTGGGGACGCCAAGCTCTGAGCCCCTCTGCCCATCGGCAGGGCTGCCGGCCCTTCTAAGCTGCCCACACCGTCCCACTCCCTGCGGCCCCAGTGAGCACCAGATCTTCCCTGAAGGCATCTTGTCCTGTGGACCCAGAGCAGACCCCACTTCTAGGGCAGCTCCCTCCTCCCTAGGTGGCTCTATTTCCGGGCTCCCAGTGGCCCTCACCGTAGAGCTCTCCCCTGCCTCCCCGGTCTCCTTCACCCTTGCAGAGCTCGGGAAGGTAGAAGGGCCCTCTGGTGTCTCCACCATCACACTTTGTGTGTGTGTGGCTTTTTAAAAAGAGGTGAGGGAAAGAACTAGAAGTGGGAGAAATGTAAAAGCAAAGAGTAACAACAGCTGGTGAACCCAGGGCAATGCCCCGCCATCCACAGACACGGACGCCCTGATGGCTCTGCTCTCTCCTGGGTAGGAGGGGGCCCTGCGCACTCCCACTTGGGGGTTTCTTCCCTGTCCCTGAGGTCCCTGTGCTTGTGGCTCTCCACTCCTAAAGGCCACACTAGCTTCCCGCTGTCCCCACCCCGCTACGGTCCCAGCCCCTTCCCCGGGTCTCCCCTCTGCTCCTCGCCCTCCCTGCCCAGCCCCTCGCCTTCCCAGTCAGTGGCAGCTTCCTCCGCACTGGGCTCCCGGAGGCTGACAGCCAGCACCAGGGCCTGCAGGAGGCCAAAGAGGCAGGCAAAGTGCAGTGGGTGGGCGGTCAGGAGGCTCAGCACGGCGTGGAGCCCATGCAGGGCAGCCAGGAAGGACAGCAGCCCGTGCAGCCAGAGGCCCAGAGGCCCCCGGAGCCCTAGAGCATCTAAGGCTGCACGCAGCGGCCGGGAGCACACAGCCAGCAGGGCTGAGGCCAGCAGCTCCAGCAGGTGCAGGGTCAGGTTGGTGGAAATCTGCAGTCGCTCCTCAGGGTCCCCTGGGGGAGCCCCTGGTTCCCCTCGCAGCCAGACCAGCAGCTTCTGGCGCCGGCCAGGTTTCTCCACTGGGGCCTCAGGCCCTGGGGCACCCAGCCCCCCTTCAGGGGATGCCCTGGGTTTTCTGGTGCCACCTGTGTCCACAGGGTCCCACCCCACTGCTGGAATGGCTCCTCTGGCTTCCAGTCTCCCGGACTCTTGGGTGCCACCCGCAGTCTGGTCCCACTTGAGGGAATCCGTTCTTCTGCTCCCCAAGTGCTCAACTTGGGTCTCCCTGATTGGTTCTGGAGCAGCCCTGGAGCTCCTCAGTGTCCCCAAGTCCTTGGTCTTGGGAGCTCCCTCATCTCCCATGGTTTCCGGTGCACTGTCCCAGTCACTCCCCGAATTCTCAGGGGAGCTATCCACCCGCCTCGGTTCTGGGGCAGGCGGGTCAGGCCGCGCCGGTTTCCGGCGGCCCCACGGGCGCGGGAGCCAGCCACCGAGCCGTCGCAGGAACATGGCTGGGATGTGCAGAGAGCTCCCCCGGTCCCACGGCCGCTGCCCGGCCCTTCGCTGGGCCGCTTCGGAAGGCAGAATCTGCTCGGGTTCAGAACAGGTATCTGGTGGTGATTTCTCCTACTCCGAATTCACAAGGGGCTCCCCGACTCCCTGAACGGTCATGCAGTGGCCGGTGTGGCTTGGCTCCTTTTCAGTTCGGGGTAAGGAAGGGAGGCACAGCCAAATTCATTCGCCACCACCCACAGACTTCAAGTCTCAGGGCCTCGCCAGGCCGGGGTCACCCCCACAGTATCCGCTGTGCTTCCGACTTCCTTCCCGGCAGGCAGCACCCCAAGTTTCACTCACCAACGCCACACCCCAAGGTGCCCCAGAAACTGGGGAGGTGCTCCATCAAAGAGGACGAAGGGTGGCCGGGGTGCTTCGGTCCTCCCGCTTCCGAGGAGTCTTAAGCTGCTGCCCCGAGGCAGCTCAGGGAACAGGAAGTCTCTGGGGAGACGGATGCAGGTGTCCAGCAACCTCCAGCCTGTAGCGTCAGCCTCTCGATTTAGGGGCGACGATTCCCACAGAGTGCCACCCCCCGCCTCGCCCACGAGGGCGCAGCAGAGGAGCAGAGGCCGCAAGGTCAGGAGCGAGACGTCCTTGGAGATCCCGGTCTCCAGCCGCAGCGCGCGCCCTGGCGTCCCCACGCTCTGCCGCTCTGCTGGGCCGCCCCGGGCCCTGCGCTGCGGCCCGGCCTCCCCGAGCAGCCCGGAGCCGCGGAGCCCGGAAGCAGCTGCGCCGGCGAAGGGGGCGGGGCCTGCGGCTGGGGCGGGGCCTGGTCCTGGGGGCGGAGACTGCGGAGCGCTCACCCCAGCCCCGCTCCTGCCAGCGGAGCGCACGCTGCGGCCACGTCTGGACAGGGTGGCCCTTGTCTGCCCCGTCCCCGAGACCCCTCCGCTCCTCTAAACCCGCCTTCGCTTGTCCAGGGGTCCCTCTGCACATCCCCCACCACTGCTCGCCCGCGACGCCAAGAAAGGCTTGGTAGAAAGGAAGATGAAGCCAGGAGCCTGGGGCCCCGCAGCCCTGAGCCCTGCTTTACCCTCCCGTCAGGGATTCGTGGGCTCCTCGTCTGCCCAGCACCCTGATGAGCGCGGCCAGGAGCGCGCGAGGGGTGGCCACGTGCGGGCGGGCAGGGTGTTCCCCTCCCTGCAGGCGCCTGGTAGTGAACAGAAGAACTTGGAGTTAGCCGAGGGTCATTGCGAGTTCCAGGCCAATCTGAACTACACAGTGGGACCCTATCTCAAAAAGAAAAGAAAGCTTGGACCTGAAGTGTATGAGTTCTGGTCCCAGCTCAAGCAGTTCCTAGGATGGTTAACTTTAGGCCTCCTCTGGCTGGGGGTTGCGGGTGGGGCTCTTTTTTTTTTTTTTTTTTTTAGTATCTGGAGTTGAACTCAGGACCCTGTACTTGCCAAGCAAGGCACTGTGCCCGCTGAGCTATATCCCTGGCCCTGGGGGCTTTTCTTGACTAACCCTATCACCATACATTAAAATACTTTTTTGTTTTTATTGTTTTCAACTTTTTTTGGGGGGGGGGTCTTTTTCTTTTCGTTTTTTTCTCCGGTACCGGGAACCGAACTCACGACCTTGCGCTTGCCAGGCAGGCGCTTTTGCCGCTGAGCTAAATCCCCAGCCCCTGCGGTGGTGTCTTTTTGAGACAGGGTCTCGCTATGCAGTTCAGGCTGGCCTTGAGCTCACTCTGTAGCCCATGCTGGCCTCCCGTGCGTTTTCAACTTTTTTATTGATACTTTTTTTTGAGACAGGGTCTCACTATGTTAGTGCAGTCTAGCCTTGAACTCACTATGTAGCTCTGGCTGGCCTCCTGGTGCTCCTCCTGAGTGCTAGGGTTACAGGCATGTGCCATCATGCCCAGCTTGATTTCTTGAGAATAGCCATTCCTGCTGGAGTGAGATGGAATCTCAGCATTGTTTTAATTTGCATCTCTTGATGCCCAATGCTGTTAAAAATTTTGTCACGTATTTGCCGTTTCTGCTTCATCTAAGAAGTGTGTATTCATCTCAGATGCCCATTTTTTGACTGGGTCTTTGAATTTGGAAGGGTCTGATTTTTTGTTTTGTTTTGTTTTGCTTTTTCTTTTTGAGACAGGGTTTCTCTCTGCAGTTCAGGCTGGCCTTAAGCTCACTTTGTAGCTCAGGCTGGTCTCGAACTCAAAACGATCCTCCTGCCTCAACCTCCTGAGTGCTGGGATTACAGGCATGCACCACCACGCCAGGATAGATCCATGAGCCTTTTGGTGGAGTTTTTGGGGTCTTCCATGTAGAGTATCATGTCATCTGCAAATAGTGATAATTTCACTTCTTCCTTTCCTATCCTTATTCCTTTTATTTCTCTCTCTTGTCTGATTGCTCTAGCCAGTATTTCCAGAACTATATTGAATATGAGTGGTGACAGTGGACATGCTTGTCGTGTTCCTGATTTTAAAGTGAAAGCTTTCAATTTTTGACTATTTAGTATGATGTTAGCTGTTGGTTTATCATAGATGGCTTTGATCAGCTTGAGGTAAAGGCCATCTATTCCTATTTTCTGTAGGGTTTTCATCATGAATGAGTGTTGGACTTTATCGAAGGCTTTTTCTGCATCGATGGAGATGATCATGTGATTTTTGTCCTTGGCTCTATTGACATGGTATATTACAATAATGGATTTGCATATATTGAACCATCCCTGCATTCCTGGTATGAATCCCACTTGGTCTCGGTGTATAGTCTTCTTGATGACTTGTTGTATTCTGTTTGCTCGTATTTTATTGAGAATTTTTGCATCTATATTCATTAGGGACATTGGCCTATAGTTCTCTTGTTTGATTGGATGTTTCTCTGGTTTTGGTATCAGGATAATACTTGCCTCCAGGAATGAGTTGGGGAGAATTCCTTCCCTTTCAATTGCATTAAAGATTCTGAGAATGGGGCTGGGGATTTAGCTCAGCGGCACAGCACCTGCCTGGCAAGCGCATGGTTGTGAGTTTGGTTCCCAGTACCGGAAACCACTAGCCCTGATAAAAAAGAGTTTGAGAAGAATTGGTGTTAAATCTTCCCTAAATTGCTTGTAAAATTCAGCTGTGAATCCATCAAGACCCAGGCTTTTCTTCATTGGCAAGTTTTTAATTACATTCTCAATTTCACTGACTGATATTGAGTTATTCAGAATTTTTATATCTTCTTCATTCAGCTTTGGT